CACGAACCCGTGTCCCCTGCATCGGCAGGCGGACTCTCAACCACTGCGCCACCAGGGAAGCCCAGTTGAAATATTTTATAATTAAAAAGTTTGAGAAAACTTTCCTTTCACCACTGCCCATGGAAAACAAAACATCTTAAAAATAAATACAATGAAAATATGTTACTATTAAATTCTAGTGAGACACTGAGGCCTATTGAAACCTGCTCTAAGCAAGAAAGGGGAGATGTTTAGGACACAGTAGCATGAAATTACTGAGCCTTTCTCCATGGCACCATCTGAAGGACTGGTTAGAAATGGCTCATCTTCTCGTCATATGAATGTTGTATCATTTCATGCCATTTCATCTCATGTCCATGGAATGCCTAAAATTATCTCATGTGCCCTCTTTCGAAAACACCACTTTTAACACATCGAATGTTTCTTGAAAGGATCTACTCTCTTTAGAATAAGGCATTGGAATAAAAAAAAAAATACAGAAAAGTGCACTTATCGTGAGGGTACCGCTTGATGAATTTTCACAATCTGAATACCCCTGTGTAACCAGCGTCCAAATCAAGAAAGAGAAGCCCCCTTCCTGTCCCCCCGTCCAGTCACATGTTCCCAAGGGTAACCACTCCCTGACTTTTATCATTCTAGATTGGTTTTGCCTGTTCTAGAACTTCCTATCTAGAATCATACAGTGGTAATCTTTTGAGTGGCTTTTTCATTTAGCGTAATGCTTTTGAGATTCATCCCAGTGGTTGCGTGTATCCATCGGTCGTTCCCTATTGTTGCTGAATAGTATCCATTATATGCATGTACCATCATGGACTTATCCATCCTCCTGTTAAGGGACACTTGGGTGGTTTCCAGTGTGGGGCTGCTATGAATACACTCACAGCCTTTGGTAGACGGAAGTGGGGGTATTTCCAGGGACAAATGGCCAGATCATAGCATAGGCATATGTCATCTTTAGGAGATCTTGGCATTGTGATTTTTATCATCACCCTTCTGAGCATCTGAGTAATTAGCACTCCAAATTTTATTGTTTTGAAGACTAGCCTATATAACAGTAAGAAAGAATAGTGAAAATTCAAGTTTGACATCAAAACACACTGGGTTCTTGTTTCAGAACAAAATGAATCCCTTTTATGACAGGTGACATGTGCCTCCATTGGAAAATTTTTTGCTTTTACCAGACATTTTATATAACTTCCAATTGCTTAGAGTTATCAACTATTTGAAAATAAAAATATTTCATATTATTAGCATGGTCCTATTATTTTGCAAGTTACTTTAGCTAAAAGTTATAAAATGTATTTGACAGGTTATATACATTATTAGAAAAACTTTTAAATGTATAGTGGATTGACTAAAAATCAAATTATCCATTTTAATCGGAAAACACCTCATGAGTCTTATTACCAAGCCAGTATCTTGACGATTGAATTTTAAGTTCCATTTGTTTGCCCATTTATCACTGGGGAAAGCCAAAGCACAGAGAGAAAACCAAGCAAATGCCCTAGCTCTCCGGGTTGAAAAGTTCTGGGCAAGGCCCGGCCCAAGTCACCCTTTTCGCCTGCAGGATCAGACTTTTGCCACTAGGGGGCGCCACAGGAGAGACCGTGGGCTGCTCCGGAGCACTGCTGGTGAGGCGCGGCTGCCCACTGCACACCAGGCCCGAAGACACCCTTTGCAGATATCCCCGCCCTCAGTTCCCACCGCCGCCCAGGAAAGTGGTCTGATGGTACCCATTCTGCAGATAGACAAATGCACACGCCACGTCGCGCGGCACAGAGTAGGCGGAACTGGGATTTGAACCGAGGTCTCTTCGATCCCGCAAACTGAAGACATTTCCACCCACGGCTCCACCTCGCTGTGACCCTGCTTTGTCCGCGCGTGTGTGGTGATGGTGGGGGGGCCTCCCACCAAGCCCATTCAGGGTGCCCCTCCCTTTTTCTTGCACACTCCTCTCCCCGCTTGCTCGTTGAACACATCTCAAAATCCTGTCACACACGCATCTCCTTCCATCCTCCCCCTGGACCAGCATTCCGAGCATCCCTCCCACTTGCCTCATCTCCTCCCACCTCCCTGCCTCATCCAGCTGCCCTTGCCTGCCGGGGTCCCTGCCTAGACCTCCCCTTGGGCTCCCAGCCTTGGAGAGGTGGAGACACCAGTAGAGGATGCAATTCTGGGACTGCAGACACACGTGTGGGTTTTTTGTTTGTTGGGGTTTTTTAAAATTAATTATTTATTTATTTATATTTATTTATGGATGTTTTGGGTCTTCGTTCCTGCTCCCAGGCTTCCTTTCTTCTAGTTCTGGTGGGCGGGGGGCTACTCTTCCTTGCGGTGCGCGGGCTCCTCATTGCGGTGGTTTCTCTTGTTGCGGAGCATGGGCTGTAGGCGCACGGGCTTCAGTAGTTGTGGCTCGCGGGCTATAGAGCGCGGGCTCAGTAGTTGTGGCGCACGGGCTTAGTTGCTCCCCGGCATGTGGGATCTTCCTGGACCAGGGCTCGAACCCATGTGCCCTGCCTTTGGCAGGTGGATTCACTGTGCCACCAGGAAAGTCCCCTCACTTGTGGGTTTGACTTGGATCTCTCCCTCCTCCCAGGAAGGCCCTAGTCCTGAGGAGAGACATCAGGTGGTGCACTCGCCCTCTCCCCCCCGCCCCCCTCCACCACCATGACAGACTGGGAACCAGAGGCCACTGCAGTTCACCCTGCTCATGTGGCCAGATATTAGCACAATCTGGAATTTCAGGTCTGTAAATCACTTGGGGGAGGGGTCTCATAAAACTGTTCTCCCATACTGATCTGCTGACTTGACCTCTTGTCCCCTCCTCCAGACACCCTCCCCACTTCCAGGAAACTGGCCCAAGGACGGGCCTGGGCATATATAGGGAGCCACTGTGGGAGGGCCTGGCCAGAGAGGCTTCAGGCAGAGAAGGTGAGGACGAGGCTCTGGGGGTCTGGATGGGCAGGGGGAGCTGGGAAGGTCTGAGGCTAGGGGTGGGGGGCAGCCCTGAGCTCTGGCCAGTGACTGCCGCACCCAAGGCTTCGTTTCTTCTTTTTTATTTGGCCAAGCCACTCAGCTTGTGGGATCTTGGTTCCCCAACCGGGGACTGAACCCATGACCCCTGCAGTGGGAGCGCGGAGTCCTAACCACTGGACCAACCAGGGAACTCCCTCCTCCTCTGTAAAATGGCCCACTGCTGGGGTTGTGGGAAGCTGGGCACACTTGGTACTGGCTTGGGCCCATCAGAGAGCTGGCAGCAGCCCCTGGCAGCTGGGGTGTGGAATGGGGCAGTGGGTCCTCTCCCGGCCCCTGCCTGGCCTCATCCCGGCTCGTGTGTCCCAGGCTAGACTATGGCTTCTGCGGCAGCAGCAACAACAGAGAAGGCGTCTCCAGTTGTGGTGGGTCTGCTGGTCGTGGGAAACATCATTATTCTGGTGAGACATTCCCTGGGGCTGGGAGCCCAGTGTGCGGGTGAAGAGGAGGGGGGCGGTCCTGAGCCTGGGAGTGGGACAGCTGAGGGCTCGGGACTCACCTAATGGCCAGTGTCGCCTGGCTCTCAAGTCAGAACAGCCCCGATTCGAATCCCAGCTCTGCCTCTCCCCAGATGTGTGACCTCGAGTAAGTGACTTTACTTCTCTGTGCCTGTTTCCCCATCTATAAATTACGTCCACACTGTGGGCATTGTTGTGTGGATTAATCCATGTATGGCCCTCAGCTCAAAAAAAGTGCTTGACCAGTGCCAGCTATCATCATTAACATGATTATGGACATAGGGTGCCTGATTGGTGCACAGGAGTCCAATAGTAATGTATAATAACAATGTCTTTTAATTACGTGATACCTGTACATGGCTCTGGAGCCAGACAGCCTGGGTTCAAATCCCAGCTCTGTCACTTTCTACTGTGGGACTTGGGGCCAGTGATGTAACCTCTCTGGGCCTCAGTGTTCTCATCTGTAATAAGATGGAGATAAAATAGGAATGCTGAGAGGATAAAATGAGTTATTGGATTTGTGCTTAGGCCAGAATTTGGCACACATGGTTGCTATCTGTGTTGGCCGTAACAGCAGTAGCGCAGGAGAGCTGGTAACAACGATGATTATCATACAGAAAGCAGTTTCAAGGACCAATGCACACAGTAAATACTCTATGAGAGTTAGTTTGATTGTTGGCAAAGGTATCCACTGAGCAGTCTTCCTCTCTCCTTGTTCCCCATCCCAACAGGTAACCAGATTTTTATTTTCTCCAATATTTCTTTAAGCAAATACAAGCAAATAGGAACCTATATACCTATTTTCTCCCCTTTCTTGCCCCAAATGTAGCTCATTCCACACCCTGCTCTGTGCCTCCCATTTCCTCCTGTGCACATTCTCTGTCCACATGAGTCCTCAGACAGCCTCCCTGCCCTTTTCCACAACCGCCCAGCCCTCCATTGTGTGGCATCCTGGCTCCTTTACCCACGGCGCTGCGGGGAATAACCTTGTGGGTGTGTGATTTTCCTGCCTGGGCAGGTGTATCTGGAGGATTGATTCCTGCAAGTGGAATTGCTGAATCAAAGGGTTGATGCTTTTGTAATAGTTCTGGCCACGGCCAGACTCCCCTCCTCAGGGAATAGCAACGCTCTTCAGGGGAGGCGGGCTAACCTAGCATCTCCTCGGTGCCAGTCATGAGCGCCAGGCTTTGCATGTAGCGTCTCTTTGTATCCTTGAAGCCACTGGCAGCTGGGGTGTGGGTGGGGGCGGAGATCTGGCTGGGTCCTCCCTTCCCTCATGGCCTCCTGCCCACCTTCATCCCTGCTCGTGGAAGGCGACATCTTCGCCACTCTATGTGCCCACTTTACCAAGAGGGCAGTAGAGGCTCAGAATGGGGAAGGCCCTTCTCACGGAGACTCATGGAGCCAGGGTTGCTGCCCCTGTGCAGGCCTTGCTAACTGGCTGCCCCGTCCAGCTGTCAGGCCTGGCCCTGTTTGCTGAAACGGTATGGGTGACTGCCGACCAGTACCGCGTGTACCCACTGATGGGCGTCTCGGGCAAGGATGACGTCTTCGCCGGTGCCTGGATCGCCATCTTCTGCGGCTTCTCCTTCTTTGTGGCGGCCAGCTTTGGTGTGGGCGCAGTGCTCTGCCGCCACCGGTCCATGATGCTCACGGTGAGGCCCCAAGAGGAAGGGATGGGGACGGCTGGGCACAAAAGTCATCCTCACAGAGTCGTAAAAACAATCACACCGCAGCCACTAGCGTGTGTTCCACATGGCACGACACTTGGGCCTCGTGGCAATCAGGTCATTTAATCTGCCCGTAACCTAACAACCTAGGCTCAGCTGTTACCCCCATTTTGCAAAGAAAACTGGGGCACAGGGGAGACAGGGAAGGCAGCTCTGCCTGGGAGGTTGGCTCTTAAGTAGCAGGACTGGGATTTGAACCTCAGCTGGTTGGTCTCCAGGGTCTGTGCTCGGGAGCTCTGTTGATAACAATGACAATAACAATAGCACAGCAACCATTTAATGAGCGCTCACTGCATTCTACATGCTTTACATAGATCAGTTCATTTGTTCCTCACAACCCACCGTGAGGTACCATCATCACCTTCATCATCATCATCATCTTCATGGCCCATTTGACAGAGTTGAAACTGAGCCTCAGAGAAGTGAGTCCACTTATCCAGGGTGGCACAGCAAGTGAGTGACAGAGCCAGGATTTAAACCTGAGCACTTCAGTGCTTGAGCCTAGGCTCCTAAATCTCTGCCCACAGCAATAACCCACACTCCCCAAGTACCTCTCATGTTCTGACACTAGGCTAAGCAGTTTAGAAAATGAGCTCCTTCAGTCCTCCCAGAATCCGTCTGAAGTTAGTGCTTCTCTGCCCATTTACCAGATGAGGAAACTGAGGTTCAAAGAGGCCCACAGCCCAGATGATAGGGAGACCAGGGATTCCAATCCTGGCCCCACTGACACAGAGCCAACACTGGGTTTTCCCCAGCTGAGGGCTTTTTGGATTCCCAGGAGCAGCTACTTATCCAATCCACAAATGTTTACACAGCAAGAACCATGTGCTAGGCACTAGGGCTATTTTGTGAGCAAACCATAAAAGCCCTTGCTGTGGGGGAGGATACTCTCATGGGGGAGACAGTGACCAGGCAAGGGAGAGCTGGAGCTGGGGATGGGAAAGGGAAGATCTTGCAGGCAGAGAAAGTGAAGACCCGCTGGGGAGGGCGGGCCGGTGGATCGGTAAGGGAGTGAGCCGCATGAGTGTCTGCAAAAAGAGCATTCCAGGTGGAGGGAACAGCAAGAGCAAAGGCCCTGAAGCCAGAGGGGACAGGAGTTCAGTGTGGCTGGAGCCAAGTGGGGGTGAGTGAGTGAGAGGAACTGAGGACGGACGGGGAGGCCTTGAGGGCAGAGAGCGGAGGTGGGCCTATCAGGTGGCCTGCAGGCCTTGGTAAAGGCTTTGGCTTCTTTATGAGTAACGTGGAGCCATGGAAAGGCTCTTCCTTTCCTTTTCTTCTTTTTTTTTTTTCCTTTCTTTCCTCCATCTAGTTCTCTGGCAGAACAATTTAACCAAAGTCCTAAAAGTTCACCCAACTAGTAAAAGAAAAAAGGTCTGTGTCTGCCTCTCCTATTAGTTTGTTAACTAATTAACTAAGACACAGATTTTTTTTTTTTAATTGTTATGGGAACTTTCAAACAGACTAGAGTGAATGGCATGATGCACCCTGTGTACCTATCACCTGGTTTCCACAATATCACCCGCACATCGTCCCCTCTACCCCTATCCTCTGCCTGCCCACATTTTTCTTTCCTGGGGTATTTTGAAGCACATTCCAGACACCAAGTCACTTCCTTGTAAATACCTGCGTGCACATTTCTCTGAGTGATAAGGACGTGGTTTTAAAGCAGCCAGGCATGTGTGGCCACATCATCTCGTCTGGGCAGTGGAGCTGGCACATCCACACCCCACGCCCTGTTGCTTTAAGGGTGAGGGGAGGGGACAGCTGAGGATCAGAAAAATAATTTTCATTAAACACCAATTAAAGAGCTTTTTCAGGTTTGGGGTTTTTTGTTTTGTTTTGCTTTCCCCAATCACCGTACTGCAGGCACATCGTGCAAAATTCACCCCAGTCCCTTCCTATCTATCTTCCAATACCCAATCTGTGTTCAGGTGTTCCTGGTTGTCTCAGGAATGTCTTTATTTTTTTCTTTTCTACAGTAGGCATTCATTTTACTGCATCCAAGCCAACAGTTAACAGTTAAGGGAATACCTTACATATTTTTGTTGATTGCATTGTCCTGTAACGTTTTATTTTTAAAAATTTCAAACATACAGAAAAGGTAAAGACTTGCACGGTGAACACCTGTATATCCCCCACGTAGATGTTTCCGTTCACATTGTCCTATACTTTTTTTTTTAACATCTTTATTGGAGTATAATTGCTTTACAATGTTGTGTTAGTTTCTGCTTTATAACAAAGTGAATCAACTATACGTATACATATATCCCCATATCTCTTCCCTCTTGCGTCTCCATCCCACCATCCCTATCCCACCCCTCTAGGTGGTCACAAAGCAACGAGCTGATCTCCCTGTGCTATGCGGCTGCTTCCCACTAGCTAGCTATTTTACATTTGGTAGTATTTATAAGTCCATGCCACTCTCTCACTTTGTCCCAACTTACCCTTCCCCCTCCCTGTGTCCTCAAGTCCATTCTCTAGTAGGTCTGCATCTTTATTCCCATCTTGCCCCTAGGTTCTTCACGACCATTTTTTTTTTTTTTTAGATTCCATATATATGTGTTAGCATACGGTATTTGTTTTTCTCTTTCTGACTTACTTCACTCTGTATGACAGTCTCTAGGTCCATCTACCTCACTGCAAATAACTCAGTTTCGTTCCTTTTTATGGCTGAGTAATATTACATTGTATATATGTGCCACATCTTCTTTAGCCATGTCCTATATTTTTTAAAAAATTGTGTTTCTGGGAATTCCCTGGCGGTCCAGTGGTGAGGACTCGGTGCTTTTGCCACCAGGACCAGGTTCCATCCCTGGTTGGGGCATGGCCAAAAAAAAAAAAAAATTGCATTCCCATCACGGATCCACCCTTGAGGGGTGTGACTTCACAGGCTTTGCCCTGCCAGGGCTGTCCCTGTGACCCTCCCTCCGTCTCTGCACAGTACCTGGTGCTCACGCTCACCATCTACATCTTTGAGTGCGCCTCCTGCATCACGTCCTACACCCACCGAGACTACGTGAGTTGGGGGGAGGACAGGGGAGGGGCATGACTTCCAGGGGGAGTTTGGTGAGGGTCTTGGGCCGGCAGTGGAGGTCAATCTGTCTCCCCACCCAGCCCCACTGGACCCTGTTCTTCCCGGCCCACTGCAGATGGTGTCCAGCCCATCCCTGATCACCAAGCAGATGCTGACCTTCTACAGTGCAGACTCGGACCAGGGCCGGGAACTCACCCGCCTCTGGGATCGCATCATGATTGAGGTGGGTGAGGGTAGGCAGGATGGGTGGGGAGGGCTGGAAGAGCTGAGGCTCTGACCAGGTCTCCCATTATGGCCCGCATTAGGGCTCCCATTATGCCCACGGGTAGATGATACCCACTCCTGTGGTTCTTATGAAGGAGAGGCTCTGGTCCTTGCCATTTTCGGGATGAAAACAGGCCCAAAAGAGGGAAAGTCATTTGCCCAGGGTCATATGGTTGGTAAGCGGCAGAGCTGGGATCCAAACCTAGATCCAGAGCCCCTGCTCTTAACCATTGCACAAGCTGTCTTTTTTTTTTTTTGGCTGCGTTGGGTCTTCGCTGCTGTGCGCGGGCTTTCTCTAGTTGCGGCCAGCAGGGGTTACTCTTCGTTGAGGTGCGCGGGCTTCTCATTGCGGTGGCTTCTCTTGTTGAGGACCATGGGCTCTAGGCACGCGAACTTTAGTAGTTGCAGCACACAGGCTCAGTAGTTGTGGCTCGCGGGCTCTAGAGCGCAGCCTCAGTAGTTGTGGCGCACGGGCTTAGTTGCTCCGCGGCATGTGGGATCTTCCCAGACCAGGGCTCAAACCCATGTCCCCTGCATTGGCAGGCGGATTCTTAACCACTGGGCCACCAGGGAAGTCCACACCTGCTGTCTTAATAGTAACAATAGTAATAATAAAAACAGATGGTGGTCCAGTGGTTACGACTCCATGCTTCCACCACAGGGGACACGGGTTTGATCCCTAGCTAAGATCTGCATAGCAGCGAGGCAGCGGCCAAAAAAAAAAAAAAAAAGAATTGTTCAATTAAATTGTTCAATTAAAAAAATAACAACAGGGCTTCCCTGGTAGCGCAGTGGTTGAGAGTCCGCCTGCCGATGCAGGGGACACGAGTTCGTGCCCCGGTCCGGGAAGATCCCACATGCCGCGGAGCGGCTGGGCCCGTGAGCCATGGCCGCTGAGCCTGCGCTTCCGGAGCCTGTGCTCCGCAACGGAAGGGGCCACAACAGTGAGAGGCCCGCATACCGCAAAAGAACAAACAAACAAACAAACAAAAAAAACATTAAAGAGCACTATCTTTTGTTTAGCGCCATTCAAAGCACTTTCAAGCTTATTTAGTCCTTACAACCAGTCCATAAAGAAGATCAGCTCTTTAGCGGTGAGGAAACCAAGGCAGGAAGCTGAGGGTTTGCACGAGGCCACGCAGCTGGTAGGTCACAGAACCAAAAGGACTCAAACCCAGGCTGCCAGCTTCCAGAAGCCACATTCTTAATTAAACTCAACATGATACGGCAGCACAAGAGGAGAATATTGAGGACCCAAGGGAAATTGAGGTTCCCATTTGGTTCATCATGCAGCTAGCCTGGACTGAGACCCAGGTTTGAAGGAGCCTATGTTTTCATCATTTGAGAGTCACAAATTAAACACCCACAGGGGTCAGGAGAAGCCAGAAATCTGCCTTTTGGTGTCATTTACCTCAGGTTTTGTTGATAGCTAATTAAAAAATTTTTTTTCCAATGAATTGTTTTTTCAAAAAAATTTAAAATAAATCATGAGTGTGGGTTTGAGCCAAATCCCCCATCAGCCTCGGGGTGCTGGGACCAGTATCTTCTGCTCCTTTGCTCCCACACAGACACTGCTGCCCGTCTTTGAGGAGGCCTAGGATGTGGGGGAGTGCAGGCCAACCTTATCCTTCCTTGCTGTGTGACCTCAGGGGAGCGGCTGTCCTCTCTGAGCCAGAGTCTTCCTGACCCCTGCCTCTCTCTCCAGCAAGAGTGCTGTGGCACGTCAGGTCCCATGGATTGGGTGAACTTCACATCAGCCTTCCGGGCCACCACCCCAGAGGTGGTGTTCCCCTGGCCCCCGCTGTGCTGTCGCCGGACTGCCAACTTTATCCCCCTCAGTGCTGAAGGCTGCCGCCTGGGCCACTTGGACTACCTGTTCACCAAGGTGTGTCTCCTCCCCCCTGCTGTGTCCGTCGGTCTCTCTGGCCCTCTCTGGTTCTTCTTTCTCCCTCCCTGTCTGTCTGTCTGCTCCTCCCTCCCATCTGGCTTTCTCCTTCTCTCCCCTCCCTCTGACTCTCTCAACTCTCCATCTGTCCCTCCCTCCCTCTGCAAGTCAGCGGGATGAACCCCGGGTCCAGTTTGATCTGATCCAGACCTGGCGGCGCCCGAAACTTTTCTCAGGTTGTCTGGGGATAGCAGCAACAATAACAGCATCAGCAGCACAACACCAATAACAACCAACATTTATTGAGCTTATACTTTGTACCAGGCCTCCTTGTAGGTGCTTTAAGTTTTTACCTTATTTAATTCTCACCACAGCCTTATGAGGTAAAGGTTAGAATTACCTCATTTTACAGATGATGAGCCTCACTAGTGATGGATGGAGTTGGGATGTGATTTCAGGCAGTCAGGCCCCAACCAGGTGCTTTAACTCCTGCAAAGGGAGTGCAGAGGCAGAGAGAGAAACCCCAGGAGGAGAACCGGTCCCCTTGGCTGCCTGGGGGCCCTTCACCATCATGCCTTAGATCAGGTGTCACAGAGAGGGGAGCCTGTATGCAAACCATCACCACCACCAGAGTCGGACAGCCCTTCCTTGAGCCCTGGCTCTCTGCAGAGTGCTTACATGCATCATCTCACAGAATCACCAGGACTGCTTTCGGAGGGCAGTGCTGTCAAAGATCGCCATTTCACAGATAGCAAAACTGAGGCTCAGAGGGTCAGAATCATAGCTAGGCCCCATAGCCAACAAGCGGCAGAGCTGGCCCCCAGCTCCGTCCTGCCTGACTCCAGGGCACACACCCTGAACCTTTGTTCTTGGCTGCTTCCAAGTTGGGCCAAGCAGGGGTCTACATGAAGGCGACAGGTGTGGGGCTCTGGGCCCACTCAGCCTTACCTCCAAATGAGGAGGTGTCAGAACTGGACTGATCCTAAAGGCGTATTTCAAACCCTTGGAACTTGAGGGCAGCATGGAAAGCCAGCCCAAGACAAAATCACCCTCAGACTGTCATAGGCACCATCAGGGCAGCACCTGCTTGTGCAGGGCCTGGGTTAACATCACATCCCTGGCTCCCTGAAACCGCCCTGGGAGGGAGACACTGCCGTGATCCCCAGGGTGAGAAACCCACTTCCTCATGGTCCCACAGGTAAGAAAACCAAGGCTCGAGGCAGGAAGTGACTTTCCCAAGGGTGCCCAGTGACTCTTGCTTTCAGCAGCCAGCCTCCCCAGGCATTTTCTCAGACCCCCACGTTCCCCCTGCCCAGGGCTGCTTCGAACACATTGGCCACGCCATCGACAGCTACACGTGGGGCATCTCATGGTTTGGGTTCGCCATCCTGATGTGGACGGTGAGAGGCGGGAGCCTGTGGGCTGGGTGGGATGCGGCTGTGAAGCTGGGGCACCCCTCACCTGCCTCCTCCCCTTCAGCTTCCTGTGATGCTGATGGCCATGCGTTTCTACAGCACGTTGTGAGGAAGAGAAGGGAAGCCCACGTGCACACTCAGCTCCCCTGCCCTTGCTCCCTCCAGCTGGGAGGCAGCCCCACCTCTCCCTTCCCTCCCTCCTCCACCCTTCCCTCCCTCCACTCCAAAGATTTTTTTTTTTTTTTTTTTTTTT